TTATTTTGGAATAAAGAGTATAAAATATAGAAAATATTTTTTGTCCGATTCATCGATTCATCGAAAAAATAATTGGCCGATTCATCGATTTTTAAAATAATCGTTAGTTGCAGCCCTATTTGAAACTGTATCTCTCTTCCTGTCAGACCCATGAAATTGCTGCCGAGTTGCTGCTTGTGAGACTAAAATAGACTTGGAGTCTATCTCAGTCACAGCAACACAAACCCCCTTGAAGAAAATCTTGTCCATTGTGTTCATTCCCATTTACTCTCAATGAGCGCTAAACGTCACAACCACGGATATCAGACAGATTCAATGAGTTCAGGGCTTAATGCTCTAACAGACAGCCACTCTGGAATTTCTGTATTGACTATAAATGTCTGCCTACACTCTGATACCACCAGCAGCGATAGGTCTTCCAGTGACAGCACTCAGCAATGCATAGCTCTTACTTCTTGACCTTTCCAACATTGTTGGCGGCCATAATTTCTGCCCAACTTGCATCAACTTTGTTTGGAGAATATCACAGAGGCCCACTGATCTCTAGTTCAGCATAAATTGTCCTAGGCCCTGGCAGGATTATGTTTAATCTGGTTGAATTACGGTAAAAAAACTGAAGTGAAAACATCATGTAGTTCTGCAACATATTGATACTATAATTACATTATGAGAGAATCGATTTAGAACCAGAAATCTATTTTTAACACAGGTTTAATGAAATAAATAAGAAAAAAATATTAGCTGAGCCATCCTATTTCTAAAGTAAAATATAGATCTTGAGATTCGGTTTCACCCCAGTGGATACAGAGAGGAGCAAAGACTGGTTATTAAAAAAACTATGGTTCGAGTTAAACTGCTCCTCTAACACAAGTTTTTCTATTCAACGAAAAAAGGCATAAAATTTCTCTGTTGATTACCTCTGTTGATTATCTCTAATATCTTGCCTCTTTGCCACCTCATGGCTCTCCTTCTGGCCAGGACTGTCATGTTTACAGTGATCTCCAATTCTGGTAAATCAGGCCGCACTTTTCTTGTTTCACTGGAGTGGCTAGCAAAAGCAGACGACACTATGATGGGGGATGGTTCAAGGGCTGTGGAAAAAACATACAAAAAAATGTGGAGATGAGAGACTTTAGCAATTCCAATGTTGTTTGTGTAATGGTTAATAGACCTGTTCTTACATTTGTTGGCACTGTCAGTGCTGCTGCTGTTGCTGGCGCTGCTACTGCTGTTGATGTTACTGATCTTGCTGGAAGTGTTACTGATGTTGCCGATGCCGTTACCGCTGTTGCCAGCAACGCTGCAGTTTTTGATGCTCGTTAATGGTGGAGCCACTGTCACTTTGTTGAATTGCTTACATTTTGAATTTTTCTTTTTAGTTTTGGAAACTCCAAAATCCGAATCTCCGGAATCCTCTCCTGGTTCCCACAGCATGTCAGAGTCAGAGCTGTTGGGGGACTCTATTTCGCTGTAGAACTGCTGAGCTGTTGGTGGTTGAATGGTTTGAACTGCAAAATCAGGGAGTCGTTCCAAAACAACCACTGGTTTTTTAAGTAGGTTTTCATCATTCAGACCTTCAAGGCATGACCTTATTTTGCGTCGGATTTCAAGTGCAGATGAGGAAGGCTCGTATTTTACAGTGTGCATGTATTCTGCGAAAGAATAAAAACAGTTCTGAGGTGTAAGCACAGATAACATACAAGAAATTATAACATCCATTTGATTAGCCTCAATTTAAATTGATTTACGATAATCTATCGAGCCCCTACAGCAGAGGGCTTTAAAATGGGTTAGTTACTTTCAAACATCAACCCCGGTGGGGTCTTAAGTGCTGGCCTGTGAGACTGTAATTGTACTGCATGGCTTTCTGATTTCAAACTAATCAAAATTCCCCACCTAGTATGACAAAATACATATCTCTCAACATGGAGGTTAATCAGATAGGTTTCACATTGATAAAGTTTCTGTACTGCAGCAAGCTAAACTCTGGGCCATTGTGCCCCTATGAGAAAAATCAAATTGCAAGCAGTCACTGATTATGACGATTCTTTTGATGATGCATTTAATCATATTCTTTTTAAGACTCACAGGCCAAAACAAGTGTAAGAACCAAAATAACACAAACAGGGTCCGATGAGGTACAAGATAAAGCATTCAGAAAATGATGCACGATTATATACAAACTACATTTTGGCTTTTTCTTTAGTCTCTTTATAATTCATTAAAATTCTTAAGTACTTTAAACTGACAAGCATTGGTAGCTACATCGGTAAGAAACTGTTTTCTTTAGGAAAGAGATGTGGTAAGTGATTAAATGGGAATAAAGAACATCATGTTAGGTTAAATGAATGTGGGATCACTTCTGGAGGTTCGGGAGGCATATGACCGGCATAAAAAAAACGGTTACTTTACCAAACAAAAGGGGCTTTAATTGGCAAAGAGGAAATCACATATTATTAAATAATCATATAATTAAAAAATGTCACTAACTTGTGGTATTTTCTGGCTCCCTGAAGTCTTGAAGCTCCAGTGTCATCACCTCATGTCCATCAATCTCCATACCTACTGAAAGAAACAAAACATAAAAAATTTCAAAAAAGCATGTCAGTCTTATCGATTTAAAAATCTCCATCAAAAGATAAAAGACAGAACTCTAATATTGGGAGGAGAAACATATCCTAAGGGTACAAATTAAGTACCGGTAGTTAAATGAATAAAAGGTTCATTTTTGTAGTGGTTTCCATATGGTATTGCCACAAAACTGCATCGAGGATCACCAAACAAAATACACAGCAATGTGCATTTAATAAGAAAATAGAACACAAGAAAATATGAAAAACCCAAAGATTTTTTTTTTTATAAATTATCCATAGAGTACAAACTCCATGGGAAGATATGGACTGCATTCCAGAGTGTTTGGAAAGCTGGTCCTTCCTGAGGTCTGAAGCTAATATAGGTGAACCCCCACCCACGATCAGTCAATTTTACAACCTATTGTTGACAAGTGTTTGAAGAAAATCTAACATATACCCATGTATCAGATAAAGTTATAAAATAACATGCAGTTAAATTATAAGATCCCCTCTTTGTTTGATTGCAACGTGTCAAAGAAAACACTTCGAAGGTGAAGATACAGCTGAAGCTGTAATAGGGCGAACGCATGTAAGGTAAATCGATAAATAGGTGTCAGCACTGAGCCCTGGCCCACACCACGAACTTTGGGCTTATTTCTATTTTCGAACAATTACTAAATTTGCTTAGGATTGTGGGGGAGGCGCTCTAATTTGTTAGGTTTCGTTCGTAACGTCGTGACTAAAACTTGAGATGCTAATGCTTACAAGCTTTTTATTCCAAGCAAAATGGTCAACTTACCTGTTTTAGGGTTCCGAATACGCCCATATATTGAAATAACACACAAATAAAAATGTATTGTTACTTCAATGCGGGAAAACTAACGAATAACTGCAATAAAAACAACAGTAGAGAGAATTGCTAGCAGACAATTATTGTTAGCCCACAAGCTAGCAAGCGGCAATGCACATCTTCTTCTTCTATGTCGAATGGCGGATTGCAAACAGCTTATAGATGCATACCGCCACCTACTGTACATGTGTGTGTAGCTCTATAGTTCAACCTACTATATTCTATTTTTTATTTGTGTGTTATTTAAAAATAAAAACAATACTTTATAAATAACCAAATTTTCTTCCCTATCTCAATCTGTCCCTAAAATTCCTTTAATACTCCAATCTGTCCCTTTTTCCATAATTACTTTCCTCATCCTCTTTCTTTCAGGTGCATATTTAATTCAATCCATCAAAACATGATCGACGTTGTCTTTTCTTTCACAACCCTCACACAAATCATTATTTCTCTTCCCTAGTACAAACAAAAACTCATTCAAGTAGGTATGACCAGTTCTTAATATAGTATAAATTACCTCTTCCCTTCTGTTTATTTCTCCATAATTTTTAACAATTACAGATTTTTTAACCCTATATAATCTTCTCCCTTTCTTATCTTTATGCCATATCTTTTGCCAAAATTCTGTTTCTTTTTAATGATTGATTTACCTTCCCCTTTCCCAAACGGAATCTGATCTATATTCTGCTTTCCTAAAGCTTTTTTAGCTAACTTGTCTGCTATTTAATTTCCTCTCATCCCTTTGTGTGCTGCACCCAACATAACTGTACATCTATTCCATATCTAAATAATCTAAACAAAATGACGAATTTCTATAACAAGGTCTTTCCTACTAATTCCTCCTGAATGAATGCTTTCTTGCAGCTTTAGAATCTGTGCAAATCACCACCCTGTCCGGTCTAACCTCCTCCACCCACTGTAAACTAATAATAATTTCTTTCTTTCTTTCTTTCTTTCTTTCTTTCTTTCTTTCTTTCTTTCTTTCTTTCTTTCTTTCTTTCTTTCTTTCTTTCTTTCTTTCTTTCTTTCTTTCTTTCTTTCTTTCTTTCTTTCTTTCTTTCTTTCTTTCTTTCGCAATGATTCTGATTTACTCTCTTATCCCTGGCTTGGTCTGTGCAATTAATAACATATGCCATGAAAAAAGTGAGTTTATCTACTATTGAAGCTGTCTTCTCTTTCAACTTTATGAGTGTTATCTATCTATCTATCTATCTATCTATCTATCTATCTATCTATCTATCTATCTATCTATCTATCTATCTATCTATCTATCTATCTATCTATCTATCTATCTATCTATCTATCTATCTATCTATCTATCTATCTATCTTTCTTCGTGTAATCAAATGTATAATGAAGTATATATATCCAAATCTTACTCGTAAAAAAAAAAAACTTAAATCATAGTCATATTATGTTTGAATATAAATGAACAAATTTTTTTGTACAGTAAATACATTAATTAAGTTTTGACTCGTTTGTAAAAACAAAAAAGCAGTTCATTCTAAAACAAAACGTTAAATGCAAAGTATCCGACGGGAACCTATATGTACTCAGGCAAGTATTTGGCCACCCATAGACCCTGAGCCGGAAACCGAAAGGTCAGCATTTTGTTGCAGAACAGTCTCCTTCAGCTCGCCCTCCAATCGGTGACGCCTGCTCCGGTCGTGTGTTGTGGGGAACAGCTCCAAAAAGTCACTTTAATATAACACTAGCATCTTTTTTATTTGGTAAGTCTCCCATTTATCTATTATTGTAACATCGGTCTTTCCTAAGAGACATAACTGAAATTAGTTTTACTCATACCGGCATTCTGCAGGCTAACGTAATTAGCTTCAGTAGCATCAGAAAACTTGGAATGGCACACGCACTCTGTCAGGACGTTTTTTGTTTGTCGTTGTCCATAAACACTAAGCTTGTTATTTTCAAAGTCGGTTACATAAAATGAATAAATCGACGAATTAATTTTTGTCTTGCTTTATTTATCACTGGCCTGTTAGCATTGCGGTAACTAGCCGAGACCTGCTGCTAAAGCAAGCAGGCGAATCCGCGCTGGTTGTCGCCTCCAACTGTGTCTAAAAACGGACTTATAATAATAAATAAATAAAACATATAATGAGTTTATGCTCTGTAACGTTTCCGGTCTGCGGAACCACAGGAATACTATCTGGTGCGTCGGTATTGTTCAAATAGAAAGTAAAGCAGAGGAGGAGGTGGTCACCATCAACTCTCTCATGTTGATAATATTTCTTAACTGCTTTTAAACAGAATGCTAGAATAAATATTTGTATTAGTTGTTGATATCGCCATCGGCTACGGATTTTATAACATAAGGTCACAAATGCATGGATATGAGCTCCTTTAGATATAAAGTCTATCAATTTCATAGTGGAGCGCAGTTTTTAACTATAATATTATCATTTAGTATGAGCTGTCATAATACTTTATCACTCTTTTCGTGAAACATGTTATTTGTTTTACCTGTAATGCATTTTTATGTCCACACCCGAAGTTTACAAACCTTGTAATGAAACCATTAAAGTTGAAGGAGAGCAGGTCATAGTAAAAAAGGAAAATGTTTTTAGAGAATAACGGTTAGTCACCGTAATCATTGCAAAATTCAAAAATAAAATATATATTTATATTATTTCCCTAAGGTTATTTACCTCTACTCTGTATAAATTGACAAATAACAAAACCGCATTAAATCTTGGCATTATGTGAAATAATTCCTTCAGTTTTTATCCATTGAAAATTCTATTAATAACAGCTAATTACAAGCAACATCAAGTTAATAATCATAAAGGAAACACAATACCACCATGTTGGTATAGCAATGCAGTAAGTTATTATATACATATATATATATATATATATATATATATATATATTTATAACAAAAAAACACACTGAGAAGGGCACAGGAAACAATCTATGGTTTAGGATCTTTCCCAGTGACTCAGAATGACAATGAAATGGGGGCTGTTGCAGCTCAAAATGACACACACCCTGCTCTACAACTACAAGAAAAGGCTTCGACTTCCTTTATTGTCAATCCACAAAAAACATAGGGTGAATCTTGACAACGAAATGTCGATTACTTGGCTACCAGTGTAACAGAGCTGAGACCTTATTCCTGCACAACAAATATGTTTTCTATGAGTAAGAGCTAGCTATATAAACTATAAGAAAACTTCCTCCAAATGTCTGACATACAGGAACACAGAAATGTTCAAAAATCATCAGAAAAGCTGTAAACTGTCCTTTGGAGTAAATTAAGTGACTCAAGTATTATACACGAATTGTTCTGTAACACCACTTGGCTATATGCAAGTTTGTTTTAGAAATGTAATATATATGGTCATAGTCGCAGAGTTAAAATGTTAAATGTATTATTCATAAAACAAATGTGACCTTTTTTTTTGTCGTTGTTTATATCTGTAGGTACAATGGCCGTGCCTCCCACTTATGCTGATTTGGGCAAGTCTGCCAAGGATATCTTCAACAAAGGCTATGGTAGGTTTTTCTTCTTTGATTGGGCAAAGATATAGAAACTTCTTCTTTTCCAGCTAAAGCTGATAACTTTGATATTTGAATTTGATTTGTCTTACAGGATTTGGCCTGGTGAAGCTTGATGTCAAGACAAAGTCAGCCAGTGGAGTTGTAAGATTATTTGGATTTTGCTTCAGAATAATTATGTTGAAAGTCACTAGGTCACCTTGTTGCTTTAAAATAAACAAAGGTTAGAAGTATAGACGGGCATATACAAAGGCATATTTTTGGCTAATATTAGCTTCTTTTGTTTTTTTTTCTTTTAACTTGCATTATCCGATATGTGCAAGCATATGCCAATTCAATAGCCCGTTCAGCATCCAAGCCCTTAGATCATGTAAAGTTCATGCTTTGCCACTTCCTCCATAGCAAATAGTTAATATGATGTTTGATTTTTTTGTTTTTAAATTTAGAGTTGTGTAAAATACATTTTTTAATTGTGTGATTTATTTTTTTTAATGGAGGAAGAAAAGGTCATATCAGCTTTAAGGCACCAAAAATCATCAGCACATATCGGTAATCAGTTTGACTGATGTCTAAATAATTGTCATTGGTGTAAAAAAGAAAAGAAAAAAGCTTGTTTCAGTTGATCTGTTGGTGGAAGTATCGGTAATACTCTGCTCATCAATTTTTAAAAGACGCTTAGATTTTTCAAATTTCTTATTATTTAAGAAGATAAACTTGATACTCAGTGGCTTAGTTCTTCATGGTTACCAAACTTTTAGTAACAAAATACAAAAATGTTATCAAAATATAATGTAATATCTAAATGTATTTCATATGGATTCATGAATTATTATTATTGAATCAATGAATTTAAAGTGATTGCAGCTTTTTTTTTTTTTTTTTTGGTTATGTGTCCTTGCAGGAATTCAAAACATCTGGTTCATCCAACACTGATACCAGCAAAGTTGCCGGGAGCCTGGAAACCAAATACAAGCGCCCTGAATATGGTTTGACTTTCACTGAGAAGTGGAATACTGACAACACCTTAGGAACAGAGATCGTTATTGAAGATCAGGTTTGCTTTTTCTTCCAGCATTCTCGCAGATACAAACAAAAAGACCGGTTTGTTCAGTTGATGTAGCAGTATGTTTTAAAATTTCATTGCATAATTTTTATCATTACAGATTACAAAAGGACTTAAGTTGACATTTGACACAACCTTTTCCCCAAACACTGGGTAAGGCGATGGTTTAGATTTCCTTTTTTTTTGTATTTATTTTACTTTCACACTCAACAGGAGCAGGTTCTGTGGCTTGTTGCTTTTCTCATTGAGTAATTATGGTAACCTGATCTTTAACTTGCATACTTCTGACATGTGACCTGTCCTGCTGCATGGAACTACTATGTTGCAACACTTCACTCGGATTGTATTCCCGTTTGACATGCTATATATATATATATATATATATATATATATATATATATATATATATATAAATCATAATTTTATTTGCTTTCTGGGACACAGCTGAGAAAAAAAATGTCTTCTTTCATACCAAGTGTTTAGGGCTGAAGTCCTGAGCTGTTTTTAGGGTAGCATGTTCAATACTTCGGTGTCAGGTTGACCCAAGTTTTTTTTTTTTAGCCATGTAAAGATAACCCTAAAATCAGTTGTTTTATAATAAAGCTAAGTAGAAAGGGAGATTGTGTTAAATGAAACCTGATGTTTAACTCAATGCATTATAGATGTTTCTTTTTATTTTATTTTTTCAACAGTAAAAAAAGTGGCAAAGTTAAGAGCGCATACAAGCGTGAGTACCTCAACTTGGGCTGCGATGTTGACTTTGACTTCGCTGGCCCCACGATCCACGGAGCCGCCGTCCTCGGTTATGAGGGATGGCTCGCTGGTTACCAGATGAGCTTCGACACCGCCAAATCCAGAATGACCAAGAACAACTTCGCTATTGGCTATAAGACAGCAGACTTCCAGCTACACACCAATGTGTATGTAAAGCAGTTTTTTTTATTTTTCTTGTGGATTTCCCCTTCTTTTTTCTCTCTCTCTCTTTTAGCTCTTTAAAGTTATGAGGTCAAATTTGATTATAAGCTGATTTCTATTTATTGAATATTTTTTATTATTGATCTTACAGCAATGACGGCAATGAGTTTGCTGGCTCCATCTACCAGAAGCCCAATGACAAGCTGGAGACTGCAGTCCAACTGTCTTGGACTGCCGGCAGCAACAGCACAAGCTTTGGCATTGCTGCAAAATACCAACTGGACAAAGATGCCTCCATCAGCGTAAGTTTTCCTCTGCAGAATTAAGTAGTTATAAGGCAACAGAGTTACTGAAAAACATAAACATTTACACCGCTGACTTACATGTTTTTCCTTTCTCCTTTGGGATGTTTTAGGCTAAAGTTAACAACAATAGCCTTGTGGGTGTTGGGTACACCCAGACCCTTAGACCAGGTGAGTTTCTTGCTTACTGCGACACACATCAATGTATTCTGTTGGGGTTTCTTAGTGCATACATCCAAAATTATTTGTTGTTCTAAAGTGAAAGCAAAAGGGAATGTGGTTTTTTTAAAAGTTATCAGCTGTTTTGTGACATCTTGAATTGTATAGATACAGGACTAAATATGCTGCCTTGTGTGTGTAGGTGTAAAGCTGACCCTTTCTGGTCTGATTGACGGGAAGAGCATCAACGTAGGAGGCCACAAGCTCGGTCTGGGTTTGGAGCTGGAAGCCTGAACTGTCATACTGCAAGGGACTAGGGAATATCAGAAGAATCGGGCCTTAACTCCATTTTCAACTCAAACCAGCAAAGGGAAATTGCCGTGAGATCATGTCAAAGGCTTCTGCAACACATATCTGTGCACCACATCAAGTCGGTGCTGTTTGCAGTCATGTGTTTTTTTTTTTTTTTTTATGTATTGTACCACGTGGACGCTTCAATTCCAAGTCTATCATTGTCATTTTATTTAATAATAATCTATCTATCCAGTACTGCCATAATAATTTAGTAATTAAATCCCTCTGTACAACTATGTGTGGCTGTAGGAATATTCAGGCACTCCATTGTTGTTCCATTTGTTTAAACATAAATGCAAACCTTTTTTTTTTTCCTAAAGGGTCGTCATATTTTGTTCACACCTAAATTACACTACTTCTGTGTTTGAGTACTGACCATGCACCCAAGGACCTCATTGTTGTTCCGTTATGTTGTTTGAGGCTGGGATGTTTTAGCAAAGCTAAACATGTGACCTTCCCCTTAACTTAGCAGTTTTGGGGTTACTTAAAGTGGGAAAGAAACCTGCATGTTGCATATCACCCAAGCAGAGGTTTTGTTTTTATTATTATGCAACACCAGATAACTGTGGAGCACAATGTTCAATGATGCCAAACTTTAAATTCTTTGAAGAAAATGTAAAGTTGCACAGGTGCACTATAGAAAGCTGTGCTTCTATTCTAAGTGGAGAACGATCATGGGAGAAGTCTTTGAGGTCCCTTTGTTTATGAATGGATTTTCAATAAAGTCTTTGAAGCTGAACAAATGCCTACCGGAGTGATGGTTAGCTGAATCTCCAAAGGGAAAACCTCTTTTACACTTTCATGGTTTTCTGAAGAATTTTTAAGTTCTTGCTAATTATTTCAATGATTTTCCCACCTTCAGTGTAACACATTCTAAAAACATCCATTTGGGGAAGGGGGTTAGTTAAGAATTTTGAAAGATTTATTTATTGTGAAACTAAGCTGAATTTTTGTTCAGCCTTCTTTTTTTCTTTCATATATTTATATCCTTTTGAGGTTTATATTTAAGGAATTGTAGAGATGTCAGACGAAAGGTAGCGATGCAAATCTGATCTAATATGGCCTATAAAAATAAATCCTGCAGTGTACCAAAATCAGTTTGGGTACCATGGTGCCATTTTAAGATGATAAATTATCCAAAGGAAAAATACTTTCCAGAGTTGATTTCTAGACTAAGCATTCAACATGAGATGTGGCACTAGAACTATATAAGAACTAGAACTGTATAAATCTAACTTACCACAGATTAAACTGGCATAAAACTGTTGGATTGGAAAAGGTCACTCCATGGATGGAGGATGTTACATTTACTGCTATTAGCTCTACAGAAGGGTTCAATTTCAGGGTGAACATCAGTGTGAGTTGTTAAACCTTTAAGGTTTGGATGTGGGGTTGAAGTTTGAACATTTGTGAGACAATTTAGCTTTAATAATTAAATCCACACAAAGTTCCAATGGCAATCATTACCATTTATTATGAAGTATGTAGTCAGACATTCATTTGATCAACTTAATTAGGAAAATCGGAGGGGATCGGGATTCTGAAAGAGTCCTACTGAAACAGGGTCAATCTGAATATGTCAAAATGGAAATGACTCTTAAGCAAAAGGAGCTGTGCCAGCAGCAGCCATGAGAGATGCTGTCCTGAATAGTGCAGGCAATAAGGAAGGAGCTTCCTATCAAGGTTCCTTTAACACAGAGATCTTGCAATTTCTCTCACTCATGCTAAGACGCTTTGAAGCTTTTGAAGATTGAACTTTTTTTTTTTTTTTTTATCGAAAACATTCCTAGAAGCATGCAAAGCTTTTCTTTTTGTTTCTGAAATTGAAAAACAGTGGCTTTCTTTATTACTTTTATTTGAGCAAAAAAAAAAAAAAAAGATCCCTTTACATTCATAATTATAAGATGTTATTTTTGTGTTTCAAGTTATTCTGAAGCCAGTATCCGTTGTGAGGTCAGAAATACTGCAAAAAACAAATGTTTGTCTATTTTTAATGATCATTTTTAATGCATATGCCTACAATGCATTCTAGCAGAGTTTTTTTTAAATCCCGGTCCTCATGGCACACTGCCCTGCATGTTTTAGATGTTTCTCTTCTTCAACACACCTGATTTAGATGAATGCAGTTGAGGAAAGCCTTTTACTTTTTTTAAGTGGTATCTGATGTGTGAAAGCTGGGAAATGTCTATAGCATGCAGGGCAGTGTGCCACGAGAACCGGGGTTAAAACATTTTGTTCTAGTATTTTGCATTGCTCTTTGTACTCCACTCTGCTGGTGCCATAGTATTGAATTTGCATAATGAGCGCTTCTGTTTTTTGCTACTATCTCTTTGAATTCAAAATGTTATTATCAACTTTGACTTCATCAAACTGATATTTTTTAGATTATAGTTTGAAATTTTGCTGTATCTCTTGTTTCTGCATTCACAGATACTTTTTCTTTTTGCAAATCAGGTAGAGTTATTTGTTTTTCTCCACTGTTTCTGATTCCTGACTCTGCTTTCTCTATAGATTTGGAAGATGGGGTTTTATCTTTATTGCTTTCATGTGTGACACCTTCAGTGGTTTTCCTGTCTTCTTCCTCCACGTTTGTACTTTCCTTTTGCTCCGTGTGGCTCATTTCTTTCTCCTCTTTTTTTGTTGCTTTGGAATTTGTCTTTGTGTTTTCTATAGATTCTTTCTCTATCAACATAGTGGCCTTTGCTTCTGTTGCCAATTCACTGACTTTCTCTTGCACTTGAATAACAGCATTAAACTGTGGGAATTTGTCCCATTCCTTTGATTCTGGAACTGTGGTTCCATCCGCAGGCTTCACATCTTGAACTGACATCAGCTTTTCTTCCTTAGTTGAGCCCTGTTTATTCCCCTCTGCCTTTAAATCATGTAAGCTTGATGAAATATCTGTCTGATTAAGTTTCCCAATCTTTGCAGTTTCTTCTTCCTCTACATTCTCAGCTGCTTTAGTATCTTCAACCTCTGTGTCTACATTTTTACCACTGAGAAGATCCTCCTCTGCATCATCAGCTATCATTGCCTCATGTTTTTCCTTCTCCAACTTTTTATCTGAAGCTATTTCAGTCTGCTGACTATCAGACATCTGGTTTCTTTCATCCTCTCGATTGTCCTTATGGTCACCCTCTTCTTCACTCCCCTGTTTCTCACTTTTTTCACCCTCCTTCTCATCCTTCCCCACATCAGTTTCCTCTGATCCAGTCTCCTCAAATTCTGACATCTCAATCTCCCGGGTGGTTTCTGTTATGATCTCCTCCACAAACTTGTACTTTGGCTCTGCTCGTCTGTGTGTGAATCCAGGTCGACTGAAGCTGGGGAGGGAGTAAACTGGCGACTGATGGTAAATATGAGGCAACTGGATAGGGGAGTCAGAGATGGATGACATTCGGGCCTCCTCACCACAGAGGAGTTTCCTGCCGGATGGAAGAAAGAATTCATATTTAATAAACACAAAGTAAAAGCTTTATCCCTTCTAGCATCTCCTCAGGTTAATCGATATAAAGATTTGATACTTGTCTTGGAAAACTAGCCATACTCCTAAAACTTAAATTTGTCATGTTACAAACAGAATGAATCAGTTAATACTTTTACATCAAGAAATTGATATTGTTTCCATTCTTCTCAACCAAATAAATGTTTCACTCGAATGTATGTTAAAAATAATTTTTTTGGCCTTTCAACAACTTTCTTCTTTCCTCCAACTCCTCACTAAAATACAGATTTGTGAAACGACCTGTTCTTTTTAGATCTTCCCAGCCCTCTTGCCTGATTGATACTCTGTCTGCCCAACACTTTTCAGATTTTTATTTGTGAAGACATTTGAACAACCACGTGTCATTGTGTCATGGGCAGCCTTGTGTTGCGCTGCCACAAAAAAAGCAACAAAATAACAGCATAATGCGAGGTTTCACACTGTGCATGGTAGGCCAGTTATTATTTATCTCTAGCTTAAGTGCCAGATAAAGACTTAATAACCACTATGGCCTAAGTAATGTTCAAGTTTGTGCTTGTTGCATTATGACATATCTGAGAAAGTTCCAGGGTTTGAATAATTGTATAAAAAAAAACAAAAAAATCATTCTCATAGAGCAATTTAAGTTGAATTTCCATCATATTCTCATTTGGGGTTGTCTTTTTTTTTACTTTAAATATATCACTAAAGGAGTTACTCGTTACTGAAACAAATGAACACATTAAGACTTTAAAACAATTTCAGTTTATATGATATGTGTTAAAAGGTCATTTTAAAATGTTTGCACAAATGCTTTAGTATGTCTTAATAATAACATATTAGCACATCTAAATAAAATACATATGCATATAAAAAGCCTAACATTACCTAATAATTACATATCCCCCACCTAATCATTTCATGTTTGACCCAATTATGTTTTGAAATTAGAATAATTCTGTGATACCTGTATGACAATATCTCCACATCCAAAGCCATCTTCACATTCAGGAGGTCCTGATACTCCCTTAAGTAGCCAGACATGTCAAACTTGCAGTTTATCAGCTCATTTTCAAGCTCTTTTATTGTATTCTGAGGAAGAGAATATATGAGATAGTTAATGGAATCTCATCATTTGTGTAAAAGCTGCACTGATGCAGCTGCAGAAGGATTTCTTACCTGATAATGAATAAGTTCCTCCTTGTGGCGATCCTCTACGTCATGAAGTTGCTTCTCCAGAGCTTCTCTGGTGCCTTTAGTGCAGTCCAGCTCAATGTTTTTGGCCTGCAGACGCCTCTTATACTCCTGGATCTCGTGCTGGCTCGCTTTCAGCGCCTCTCTCTTTGCCTCGGCCGCCTCGGTCAGCCTGGAGAACTGAGCTCGGAAACTTTCGCCGTCCTGCTGGATGTCGGATACGGTGTGACCCTCCAGCTGCGCCCTGATGTCCCGCAGCGCCGCAGTGACACTTGCATGACCAAATCCGTGCGCTTTAAACTTTGGTTGAGCATCTTGGATCTGGACACACATTTCTGAAACTTCGGCCTCGTGATTTCGCTTTAGAAAGTTGATTTCATCTACAAGGTACTCCACTTTCCTATCCAGCAGTAGTTTAGCCTGATGCACGTCGCTCATGTCTTTCTTCAGGATCATTATGTTGCTCTCAGCTTCTGATCTGCTCTCAGACTCTCGCTCATACTGTTTTCTCAAGATGACAAGGTCTTCCTCCAGATTATGATGTTCGATCTCAATCTGGTGCTTCTGTTGGGTTATATCTTGCAACAGCTGCCTCATCCTCCTCAGGTCTGGACCGTATTCCTCCTCCAAACAAGATGCGGGCTTGACTTTCCCTTTGATGCTCTCAATCTCTCTCTCCAGGATTAGGTTGTGCTGTTCTAGGTGGTGCACCTTTTCTATAAAACCCGCAAGTCGATCGTTCAAACCATGCATCATCTCCTTCTCGCTGCACCTTTTAGATGGGAGGCTTTCGGAACTCATGTCCGCGGAAGTCGTCTTGGTTTCCGATGGTCTCGGATTGTGTTGTGCAAAAAGACCAGGAGCGTTTCTGGTGGAGAAGTCGAACCTGTCATGTATCCAGTGACTCATGTTGTCAGCGTGGGTCTCTGGTGAAAAGATGCATCCATGCAGGCTTTTATAGCAGCCACCACCTGCTCTGTCTGCAGAATAAAGCTGTCCATGGTGCTGAAAACACGTAGCGTCAGCTGCTGCTTTAATGAGCTCTTACTCCACATTTTGTCGCAGAAAGCGATGACGTTGGTGAGCTCAGCGGTGAGCAATTACCTCTATGCGTGATACTATTAGTAGTAGCAATAAAAGCAGATGAAGATCTAAGTCCTAGAAATGTTTCTTACTCTGTATGTTGCACTGATATTCGCAGATAAAGCTTGATATTTTCTACGAAAATGCACTTCTCTCTCATAGTCCCATTAAATTTAAATCTTTCATGCTTCAAGTCAGATAGCAGCAGCAGCAAACTCCTTTATATATACAGGTAGGTATTTTATTAATTGCAGTGACACCCCCATGGCACCATCAGCTTCCTTCTATTCCATTCTTTCACGATTGAAAAATAAAAATCAAACAGTCAGTTTGTCATTAAAGATTAACCCAGTTAAGGTTCAGATACTCCATTAAGTATTGTCTTAATGCTCATCTTAACTTAACCAAATAAGTCTTAATACAAGGATAAAGACATTGATGATCTTCTTTTTAGTATATTTACAAACAGAATAAAGGGTTTATGAACCTTAGATTGTGTTTTTGTTCAGTGTTATTTAATTCAGTAACTCTAATACTTAACTATATTGTTGTATTTGACATTTTAGACTACAGATGGTCCAATATAGTTGACTTGTGACAATATGACAATAAAATCTGGGGAAAAAAAAGGCTTAAATCGGAGGCAACCTGACTTTCATTCGGTTTTTCTGAAACACTCCTGGATATGTGCTGAAAACATTTTCAGAAACACAGAGTAAAAGTCTGGTTCCTCCGATTTAAGCCTTTTTTGTGACTATTGTTTAAAATAATGTAATCAAATAACATGAATTAGATAAATTTATTCGATATTAAATCCTGTCAGAAGAAACATTTATCAAAATCAAAATTTTTACATAAACTTATAAAACTAATCCTTACAGTAGGCAATGTACATTACTACGTAAGGGGAAGAATAAATAAATTCCAGTGACAACTTCTACATTTTACTGTATTTTCATCTGATCTTCAAGTAGTAGCTATATTCTCATTAGATTGTTACTTATGTAAAAGTTAAAAGTTTGTATAAAAAAACTGCACATCTCTTTACATTATTTAATTAAAAGTAGTTTCTTCCCGACAAGGTGATTAACATAACTTTTATTTAATAAATATCTTAGAACCATTTTTCCTGCTTTATTTTTGTTTTTTCAATAATGATAGTCTTTTTCTTGCATATTTTCAGTAAACATACTGATCTTTATTATTTTTAGAATCTTAAAAATCTTACATCCTTTCACACAATACTCAAATTGTTGAATTGTGGAACCAGGAGAGCAATAAATCACGCAATAACATGGGAAAGAATGGCATGATATATTGCATTTGCCTATAACATCATTTTCAGCGTTTAATGGCAATGGTCAGCCCATCCCCCACAGTGAGCATGCTCAGTTCAACTCTCTGGTCGTTGTGTATCTTCTTATTGAGTGCATCTAGAGTCTGCGACGTAATATCATTGGGTTCAGGGTTCACAACCTTTCCACTCCACAGGACCTGAAAGGGAGACGTCACAGTCTATATTTGTTCTTAAAGCATGAACTGAAAATAGAAAGTTTACTTACGTTATCGATTGCAATTATACCACTATTTCTAATGAGCTCAAGAGACTTCTCATAGTATCTGTCATAGTTGGATTTATCTGCATCAATGAACACAAAATCATATGTTCCAGCTTCCCCAGCTGCTACCAGTTCATCTAAATAACATAAATGAAAACAAGTATTAGCAACACTTTAATTTCTGCAGGAGAGTCATTATAAGACCAATGAAACTTCTTACCAAGTGTTTTAAGTGCAGGTTGATGCTTAACATCTATTTTATTTTCCACTCCAGCCTGCAAAGTGTACGATTATGTAAAGTGGGTTCGATACAGACTTTACAAAACAAAGTTCTGTCAGGTTTTAAGCAGTAGCAGATTTAACAGCTTGGCTCTGCAGCTTTCTTTACCAGTTTACTGAGCAGACACCTCAAAGTTCCCATTTCTTCCCTGTTTTTAAAATGTTCTTACCTCTTTCAAAAAAGGTTTAGCTATTTCCACGTAGGTCTCTTCTATTTCACAAGCAACCACTCATCCATTCTGTGGCATGGCCAATGCCATGCTCAGAGCGTTGTATCCAGTGTACATCCCTGCATCATACATGGTCTCAGTTAGTACTTTTTGTGAGAAATATATTTCCTGTTTTCTCAATATCATTCACTTAAAAAAAAACAACCAAAGTATATCAAAATATCATGTTTCACAATACTTTTATTTAAGGAAAACAAATTGCTCTGCTGAATAAAAGTCATATATTGTTATAATCTAGTGATAGGCTGCATAAAACCATAGTAATATTGATAGCTTGCAATGCCATTCAGTATTTATTTGCTCTGTCACCTTTAAAATTCTTTACCTTCTGATTCACCTTTTTAAACTTTTCTTACCTATTTCAATTGCTTTTGTGGCATTTATCAATCGAATGAGATTGGCCATAAACTGGGCTTGCTCCGCTGCCACCATCATTCTGTTCCACTGATCCTCAAGGGTCCTCTGAAATTAAAACACAAAGCTTACTCTGTACCTTTAGAAAATAAACCCCCACCATCAGTTCTTTTCTGTATTTTGTGTTTCCTAGAGTAGGTCTGCCCTCTAGTGCTGTAAATCCATGTTGCTTTTACTATATAATTTGACGCTATTTACTTATTTTAAGAATATTGAGCCTTAAGAAAAATGCCCAATATATTTTAGTGCAACACTTTAAGAACACATTAGATCTATACTGAAAACAACATCATACTGTAGCTAAATCTATACTGATAATTATTGTTGTTTATTTGATAGGGATGGGTAAAATCAACAAAGATCAATGGCATAAAACAGGTTGATTCCTGCATCACAGTGTTTAAGCCATGGCTAATTCACAATAACTGTCACTAAAAGAGCATTTCAAATTTTGATTAAACAGATAAATTAACAGTTAATAAAATGTCCAGTAATTATTGAACAACATTTCTAGAATTTAAAATCAATACCTAAGAATGATACTTATCTCAGATTATCCTTAGCCCATTCTTAATGAAGGAAATAATCCTTTTAACATCCTGTGTGTGCTTAAAGGTGGATAGTAGTGAGTTCCAGACCTTGTAACCCAACATGTTAGAACAAAATGGTGCCATATGATTTGATGGAGATTGTCATCCGAGAATCAGACCAAGACATCATAGAGCTACTGGTCAGTCTGAGGTGCAGCGTTGTGCTATAATATGGATCTAAATATGATGTCCTAAAGATTTTCTATTGGGTTGAAGGTCCAGATATTTTGGGTTCAGGTGTGTTCATGCTATCAATTCCTTCATCTTCCAAGAACTACCAGCACTCTCTTGCCACATAGGGACAGGCATTGTGTTGCATTGCAATGAACATACCACCCCTTGCACTATTCAAACAATGGGTCTAAGGATTTCAATAACTTATCCTGCAGAGGTATTTCTGTGCATTCATGGATATGCGTTCCCAAATCAACACTGACCCACCACCAAACTGAAAAACAAATTTGCAAGTAGAATGCTAATCTGGAAAATAAATAAGGTACCAATTTTAAAACAGAAAATGCAAAGCTCAGCAGGCCAGACAAGGTCCTTTAGAGGATTTGGAGCTCTCAGGCCATCTTCTAGGTCTGTTCCTATTTGGCCAGACACAAAGGAACAAATAATGGTCCTGCTGATGTATTTACCACCAGCCGTGCTGGGTCCAGGTATCACCTCATGCTACCAGTAGTGACATGGGAACAAATTAAAAGCCACGTAAAAGCAGTAAAAAAAGAAGAAAAAAAAGAAAGAGCAAGGGAAACCTAAATATTATATATAATATTATGTCTGTGGTCTCCACTTTATTGAACCTGCTGTTACCTTTGTTAACACCAGAATAGCTGACACAGATTTTTTTTAACCACTTTTACTGCTAGGCTGCTAAGCAAACTTTATCAATTTTCTAGAACATTGTAACTTGAAATCATATTCCGATTGAAAAAGTTCCGTAAAACTATTTTAAGCTGTGTTTTAGTGTGATGTGGATATAGAATCGTAAGGTAGACTGTTGATCAGATAAAAGCAAAAAACAAACAAGAAATTTAGAAAGTTGACCTGATCCATTTCACTTGTTTATATGGAAACAATGAGAGCGGTGCATGAATCCTCTGGACTGGTTTATTTTGCCTCATGAGGAGAGGAAAAGTTTTTAAGAAACCCTTTTTAATTTAGGCAGTTGGAGGAATCCTAAAGTGATTTAAACACATAAGTGTGCAGGAGAATTATACTTAACCCAATTATAAAAAAAACAACACAATATTACTGATAACCTTTTTTTTAACATCTACAAACAAAATGTCGTTGTGAAAAAACGGCTTAATTCACTAACTTGCATGACACACACATACATACACGCGTGTCTGAAAATGAATGGATATATATATATATATATATATATATATATATATATATATATATATATATATATATATATATATATATATATATATATATATATATATACTCTGAATTGTGGAACTCTCTCTCTGTGTGTATATATATATATATATATATATATATATATATATATATATATATATATATATATATATATATATATATATATATATATATATATATATATATATATATATATATATATATATATATACACACACAGAGAGAGAGAGAGAGATTTTTTATTTATTTTTTAAAAGGAAGCAAGGTTGGAACGTTGTGTAACTATCTGACTTGTTAGCAATAGGACTGAAAACTGGTTTGTCATGTGGTCGCCCAAAACTGATCTAAATCGTAACATTTATGATTAAATCAGCTTTGGAATAGTTAACCAGACAAAAAAACAGGCTATTAGCACTATGATTATTGTCCTAGTTATATAAATCCTATAAAACAGAGCAATTCTGCAGTTGCAGTAAGGATCAGGTTGTAAAGGTTTAGATTTTTGCTTCACCAAAGTCAGCAACAGATTGATA